ATACAGGGTCATGATTGGTGCCACAACATTCTGAACAGTTTGAATTTTTTTATTCAAACACAAATATAGTTATTCATTCAGCACGATCTGCTGTCATCGATTAAAATTTTCAATAACTACAGCCAGCGATTATTCAGTGATTTCTTCCTTAAATTCTTCAACCGTATGTAGATTATTTCTGTGGACACTGCTCTTCGGGAATCGCCATCAAAATACTCACAAGGGTTCAAATCTGGCGAGTACTATGGCTAAGAACATCTAAATCCATATCGAGCAGGGCATCGATTAGCAAATGTTTTCTCAGAAAAGAACAACTTTCGCCGTGTGTGGTTTTGCCACGTCTTGAGGGTAAAAATTTTCTTAAAGCCCTTGCCACATAGATAGCCTGTCGCATCATTCTGCGTTTTAATTTTCTAATAATATTAGGAAACTTGCAAAACTCACGAAACTTTTCTTTACCGTGTATAAAAAGTCTACATGTCTTAAACAACCTCCTGACTTGATCCTACTTAAGTAAAATTAGTGCATATTTCGAGTCCATACAACACAAATTATTTCTAGGTATTAGACTTATCGTGGCCACTTTGTAATTATAACTTAGACGTGCCAGTGTGTGTGTGCATCTTTTAAAGGGGGCATCTACCCACGAAAGGCTTGCTGAGGTGACTCTGAAATGCGGGGTAGCGATATTCGACACAGTCAGAGCTGCAGGGGGGAATTCCCCTGCTGACTCACACCACGTGACACAGTGGAACGTGATGGGAGTAATTGTGAGCGAGGCATTTAGTGAATCGGTGCGGACAGCTCACTGTGGCTAATTGTCATACTATTACTGTTTGTCTGTCAGCCCGGCACTCGCTGCATTCAGCATTCACACAACCTCCCTTTGCCAAAACATAAAAATTCCAGTTGGCTCTACAAACAAAGACGAAATATGAAGCACCATGAAAGCATGCAGGTACTTATTTACCTCGCTGTTCTTGGTCAGTCAACTTTCTACGATATATTATTCGATGAAGACGTATTGTTTCTGTTAAAATACTATGATAAATAACGGAAGGGAATTTTTGAAGGCAAGATACCAACACAACAAAGAGAGTAAACAAATGACGTAACATTTTTTATTCTATGATTTTTTCGAATAATAAGAGTGTTACACTTTTACATTTATCGATAAATTTTCTAGATTTTGTAATGTGATTATCGTCGAAGATAAGCCATTCATCGTTATAACGTCGCCACGCCTTAAAATGTCCGTCGTTTCCAGTACCGTTAATGTCCACAAATTCGACCGCACTTTGCAATTTCCAATGTTTTCCATACATTAATTGGTTGTTTTGTCTCATTCTCATTATTTCAAATGTGCGTACTCCATTTAGAGTTAATCTATTTATCTCCCGTTATGACCATACATTGAAGGAGGTTGTCGGTCATCTGCTGTACTAGTAAACGTGTTCCGTTAACTAACCCTTCCCAAACGCTTAAGTTACGTACCAACATGACAATAGCGTTCTTACCTAGTCGCAAATTATTTGGGGGCAGTGACCGTGGTCGCAAAGTGTTTAAGTATTCGGGTGTCCTTTTGTTTCTCGTTCAATGACTTGTACATTTCTTCACCAATTCCAATGTGTTCCTCAACAGTTAATTCTTTGTTACTTACTGTCTGTAATTTTTTTAATTTCCTGAGGCAGTATTGGAAAGTCCTTCAAACTTTTCCCTTCAATAATTAACAATTCATTAATATTAGCATGAGCTTTGTCACGTGCGTCAGAGTCAGAAATTTTATCTTGTTTTTTTAAAGTCTTGCGCCATTATATCGATGAAATCATTGAAAATCTCTTCGGGGTGCGATGGGTGACAATGGATTAGAATCTGAACAAACAAAACACGTAGCTGATAAGGCATTTGGTAGATCGCACCTTCTTGCATTCAGCGTCATCTTCGATCAGTCCACGTGCTAAACAGGTTTCTGTGAATGTTTGGTAAGTGACAGTGTCGTAAGTCTTTAAGTCCTCATAGTTTTCTGCGCCTTTCACATTCATCAAAAGAACACGAAGATGGAATCTTTCTTGATCTCTAGGGCGTCCGATTGTGTGTTCACCATCACTTCGTGGAAACCATGACTTCTGTTTCTTCAAGTTCGTCTTTTGTTCGTATTCAACAGTGGACGCTCCTTTTTCTTCATCATCATTGGTACCTTTCATTTCTGCTCCTCACGTATAGTGTTTTGGAATTTCGAAATAAAAATACTTTCGTGCGTTTGGGTCCCGTTTGTTCAATTCGAAATATTCAAGGAGCATTGTTGAACCGGCAATTGCTTTT